TATTGCCAAGCAGAAAATGTTACATAACAATGTAAACCAAATCTTACGCATATTAAATAAGGATACTTAGTCAAGCGACTGTGTGGCAACTTATTGATCTTAGTGCCTCTCGGTATAGTGTACCATGGCTACATTGAGCCTTCATTTGCATTTGTCATATGCAATTATCACTTTTAGAGTAATTTATGCCATACCTAGTGGGAGCACTAGTCCTTTCTTTTGGTGGTCGGTCATTATTTCTCCCAATTTTTTGATGAGGGAGGTTGTGTTGATCTCCATTGTGCTCTCTTAGCCTTTCAAATCTTTATCGCGTTGAAATGCTTTATGTATCCTTTGAGTTCCCTCCAAATCAAAACATATCGTTACCCGCTCACCGTAGGTGTTATGATATTTCTTCTTCAGGTGGATCGGGGAGGCCACCAGATTCAGTGTTATCGTGAATGGCCTGTCTAGAATGCAATTGTAGATGCTCTTGTAAGAGACTACCAAAAAATGTAGGTTAACTATTTGGTGTCACTTCCTTCTCCGAGTGTGACCATTAGTTTTCTATGGTGATAACTTTTCTCTCTTCAGCCCGAGCTTTTAGAAAGGCTCAACATACATGATATCACATGAGCTTCCCTTGTCTATTAGAATTCTCTACACATATAAGTTGGTAATGTTCGTCGTTATTACTAAAGGAAGTATTTCATTTGGTATTTCACCCACCTTTTCCCTTCAGAGGTTGCCTCTCCTTCAGAGGTTGCTTCCCTTTTCAATCTTCTTTTTCACTACTAATGTCCTTTTTCTCTTTGGTCCTACTTATAGCCTCAATAGGTTTCTTAAGGGACCCTTTTTCCCAGTGGGGAGGGATCGTTTCTTGCTTTCTTTCTCGAGCATCTTTTTGACCGCCCTCTTGGGTTTTTCGGGTGAGTATCCATTTCTTGATTTTCTCCTTGATTGCTTCCTTCAAATGCATGCATTCATTGGTGTTATGGTAGTGGTTCTTATGTAAACAACCTATATTGTTTTCTTAATCTGAGTCGGTTTCTTGACCAGGTATGGGTTTCTTATCTCAACCTCCTTGAAGTCGGTGTTTTCACAATCCTTTATAATTGTATCTCGTGAAATGTTCAAGTGAGTATATGATGAAAACCTTTCCCGAGGTCCCCGGTCTCCATCATCTTGATGATGATTGTTATCTCTTTTTGGACCCCATCCTTTTCTCGGGTGTCCCTCTCCCTTACTCTTTTCGATGTACCCCCGTAAGGTCTCTTTGTTTTTTTGAAAGATCCCACAGAGGACGACTATCGTAGTGGGTTCCCGCTTTCGAGCAATGAATTGGGCAAAAAAAGAGTCGTAAAGTTCCCTCCATGAGTTTATGCTTTCGTCTGAGAGAACTTTGAACTACGTCATTGTGGCTCCTTTGAGGGTTAGCACGAATAATTTTCATTTTACGCCATGTGGACATGGTAGTAGTCAAGTTTGGTGTCCACGTGCTCAATATGCTCGTTTGGATTCCCTGAGTCATCATATGTGTCTAGCTTGGGAGGTTTCTCGAGGGATTTGGTATCCTACTATCGAGGATACGCTTCGAGAATGAATTTTTTTTCTTTTTATAGGAAGCTTGTATTTTAACGTCACACCCCTCGTCTCTTCGAGAATGGTGCGATGGTGAATGAATAGGGTGACATATTTCTAAAGGGTGTGCTTGTCTCCTCTTCCTCCAAACTCACGCGGTGGTGTATGATATTTTCGACACCAAGTGCGATACGAGGATCTAAGGGTCGTCCTACATGGAGAGATAATGTCAACAAAGATCGGTCCAGACTTGACTCTTTGATCGTAGTCTGAGGCTGGCTTGTGCGCATGATATTCACGTGGAATAGCGTACTGCAATTTTTTTTTGTTTCGAGTATTCTTTCATCCAGAAAGTGTGAGTTATGTTATTATATTTAGGCTATACACATTGTTGATTAGATTTTTAGCCCATGGCATATATGGATTGGCCTACAACTATTAGAGGCTTTGAAGCATCTTTTGTTCGAGAATTATTGGTTGTAACAGCAGTTGCTTCAAAGTTTGGCCTTGTAGTGCTTGCTGAGAAGACTGGTAAATCAAGAGGACTTAGAATGTGTCTTGGCCTATTGTCAAAGGAATTGGATCTTGTAGTGGAAGATCAAGAAGAGAAGTCATCAAGACATGATCGTTTTCGACTATAGAAGGAAGTTGAGTCTCCCTCACAAGATTTGGTAACATTGATCGAGGAAGCGATTGCATCGGCGGTGGTGCATTGTGTGGTTCATCGAGTAGCTCTTGATGTTGTCATCGTTCAAAATTTTGATAAATGACTCAAGTGGGAGAGGAGGAGATCAGAGTTTGCTGAGTTATGGTGAAGACACAATGGTTTCTCGTGGAATTTTGCGAGAATCATATGTTGATTTTCATAGACCCCGCAACTGTTCCAAACATGAATCATAAATAATTGAAAAAGAAGTAAAATAAGACTCAGGAGCAATGGAGCAAGCCTTATGTACGACGAATCGGGGTGGACCTGCAAAATTAGCATTTCAACGCCCAAGTCAGTAAATAAATGAAGATTAGTGTAAGTGTGGATGAGTTGAATACCTGAGTCTAAACGTGATAAGGTCTTTATATAGAAAGATGTGGTTAGAACATCTCTCGCTTGATTCCGTGTCTCGTGCAGATCATCTTTGAATTAGATTCGAAAGTGGGAATTCAACAAAAGGGTCAAAATTGTTTGCTTAGAGTTTGAGTTTAGATTGCGTCTATTCCTCCATGTTTTGCATGTATTTGGGTCTCGACATGAGAATCCTGTGAATGGTTCAGAACAATAAGTGTCAAAAAATACAAAGAAATGCTCCTAACAAAAGGAAAGAAATGATATCCATTTCTCATTTCTATTTAATTGACATGTAAAGTTCTTTTTCTTGTTAAAGAATAATAATTGAATCATTAAATTTTATATATATATATATGTGTGTGTGTATATGTGTGTATGTCACTATAAAAAATACTCTCATTTGTAACGTGAAAAATCACGTCACAACTTCTAATTTGCGACGTGAGTGATCACGTGGCTGAGAAATGAGTGGCAATTTATTTGCGACGTGATTTTTATGTCACAAAGTTGTGACGTGAAAATCACGCCGCAACATATTTTTATAGACAATTTATTTGCCACGTGATTTTCACGTAACAAATTAGTGACGTGAAAATCACGTCGCAAATTAGTAACCATTCACACTTTCTCTTTGTTAATCTTTTATTTTTTTATAAGTTACTAATTTGCGACATGATTTTCACGTCACTAATCTTTTTATTTTTATTTTTTAAAATTTTATATATATATATATATATATATATATATATATATATATATATATATATATATATATATATATATATATATATATATATATATATATATATATATATATATATATATATATATATATATATATATATATATATATATATATATATATATATATATATATATATATATATATATATATATATATATATATATATATATATATATATATATATATATATATAATTTTAAAATATTATGTCTTATAATATATAAAAATATAAATTTTAGTTTTACTATTATTATTATTATTAATATTTTTTATATTCTGTTTTATAATATAAATACCATATATTTAATAAATATAAAATAAATTTGTATAATATATACATAATTTCGTTTTAAATAAAATTCTAAAATATATTTCTGTTTTATTTTTCATTTATAAAAATTATAATATTAATTTACTAACAACTTTTACAAAATAAATATCAAATTTCACCTAAATAATCAATCAATAATCCTGAAAAAATATCAAATTTTAAAAAAATTACAAAAATCTCTCTCTTGAATCTCCTTCAATCTTCTTGTCTATCTTTTTCAAACCCTCTTCAATGTTCTTCAATCTTCTTCTTATCAATTTCTTGAAGAAAAAAAACATAAATCAAAATCATATTACAGAATAAACATTAAACAAAATTATAAATAAAAAATTGAAACAAAATTAGAGAAGATGATTGACTACCTTTAAAAATTAGAAGTGGAATAGAAATTAAAATTGGAGAAGATAAAGGTAGAAGGAAGAAGTTGAAACAGAAAAGGAAGAGAATAAAAGAAGAAACAGAAGTGGAGAAGATCTGTGAAATAGAAAAAATATATATAAACAGTCAGCGACGTGATAATCACATCAGAACCTTGCCACGTGATTATCACGTCGCAACGTCCCGCGCAGTCAACATCAAGGCACAACTTTTTCCCTCCTAAAAAGTTGCGACGTGAATAATCACGTCACAACTTGAAATTTGAAAATTTTAAACTTTCCACCATGTACAGGTTATAACTTTCTGAAATATATATTTTAGTTAATTTGTTGCGACGTGGTATTCAAGTCACAACTTTTTTTATAAAAAATATTTTCTGACTCCTCTTTTATTAACGTTATTTTTCATAATTTATTATTAAAATTATGTAACGATGTGATTATCACGTCACAACCTACCACGTGATAATCACGTCACAATTTTACTTCGCTAGAAAACATTTATCTTACGGTGTGTGTAACAGACATTTCAACGCATTGTAATTGAAATTCAGATCCAGTCCACAAAATTATGAAGTCCTACATAAATTTGATGACATACATATTAATTGAGATATATGAGTTAAAATATGTGTTGTTGGGAGTTTTAACTTATATAATAATAGTCAGAACAGAAACATCCCCAATCAAAAGAATGATACAAGTGAGATATATTATTATTTTATTTCCCACGAGACATAGATATGGTGTAGAGAGAATTTGGCACGTGTTGCAAATGAGTGGCTCAAAAGAAAGATAAAAACAAACCTTCGTTATCCAAACACATCTTCTAACCCTATAAATAGTGACCACTTCCATAGTATCAAACCATCACCATTTCTCTCATTCACCAAACTAAACTCATTTGTTTAAGAGCTAGCAAAGATGTTTTCAGGTGTAACAGGTATCATCAACAGAGGCCAAAAGCTGAAGGGAACAGTGGTTTTGATGCAAAAGAATGTGTTGGATATTAATGCTCTAACTGCAATTAAGAGTCCTACTGGTATAGTGAGTGGTGCATTTGGTGCTATTGGTGGTGCCATTGGGACTGTTGTTGATACTGCTACTTCATTCGTTGGACGTTCTGTGGCTCTTAAGTTGATTAGTGCTACAAGTGCTGATGGTAATAATATAATAACTTCTCTCATGTTAAATAATCATCTTTATGATAAATCTATAATAATGCATTTAAGTTATAACGAGTATAATGAGCATAAACAACTTAGAAACTAGTATCTTAACTCTAAAAGATTGCAACTAAAAAGAATATCTTAAGAGTGACACTTCTGATCTCATAATGGATGTTTGTATTTGTCTAAATAATTCATTATATAATAGTTGACATTTTTTACTTTTCATGTATTATTGATCATTTTTTTACAATTTTATCATTTAATTAACAGTTTTATGCACATCACTTTCAAACAATTAGATTTCTTATAATAATTGTAAACACATTAATATTAGCCTAAATTTGATAAAATTAGTATTTCATTTATGATGTTTATTTATGATGTTTATTTATGTGTAAAATTAACAAATATTATATATAATGTGGGACAGAAGGAAGAAGTAATTTATATTTGATTAATAATGTATGAACACAAAATATTTAAAATAAAATATATTTTATTTATTTTCACATTATATATGTTTTTATGATATATGTTGTTGATCTTTATAAAATTACGATATTTTAAATCTAATATCTATACTATGTTTAACTTATTAATCAATTCAGTACTTATCTTTTTAAAGTATAGACTTTGTCCTTTATATTTTGTAAAAGGGACAACTTTAATAGGTATAAAAGATAACAATTTAATAGAAACTAATAATAGATTCTACTTTGATATAGTAACTACTTTGATATAAAATTTGATTTTAATAATCAATTAACAATTATTACTAAAACAACCCGGATTATTTGAGTAGAAAAACATTATTATTAAAACATTTAGATTTCAATAGCTATAATAAAGTTAACCATCATGAATTGATTTAGCAATCAAGATCTGAGATTTAGAAGTGTGTTACTCTTTAAATCTTATGTTTAAATTATGTTTTGAGTCGATTCATATATAAATTTTACTCTACCTTTAATTAGATATCAGTTAGTGAACAGTAAGTTTATCCTTCGAATTAATGTGTTAAAAAAAAAAAATAGATACTACAAAGTTGTTAACTAGAGAATCATAATTTTTGAAACTGAAAATGTAGTTTCTGAAATTTGTTTAGGAAATGGAAAAGGAAAAGTGGGAAAGCAGACATTTTTGGAGGGTCTTCTTACCTCCATACTAACATTGGGAGCAGGACAATCTGCCTACACTGTTCATTTTGAATGGCATAGTGATATGGGAATTCCAGGAGCATTTTACATTGAGAATTTCATGCAACATGAATTCTTTCTTGTGAGTTTGACTCTTGAAGATATTCCCAACCATGGAAGCATCCACTTTGTTTGCAACTCATGGATTTACAATGATAAGAAATATAAAAGTGACCGCATCTTTTTTGCTAACAAGGTAAGAAACATATTCATATTCATTTGTCTTGTTAAATATTCATCTTACTTGTCGTCAAAATAATTATTTCTCAAAAATTGACATTATCGAATCAAATAAATATAATTGTAGACATATCTTCCAAATGAAACACCGGCTCCATTAGTCTACTATCGACAAGAAGAGTTGAAGACTTTAAGAGGAGATGGAACCGGAGAGCGCAAGGAATGGGACAGGATCTATGATTATGATGTCTACAACGATTTGGGCGAGCCTGACAAAAATGCTAAATTGGCTCGTCCAGTTCTTGGAGGATCCACCTTGCCTTACCCTCGAAGAGGAAGAACAGGCAGAAAACCAGCTAAGAAAGGTTAAACCTTATGTTCTATCTAAGCACTTATGTCTTTTGTTGTCCCAAATAGGTTCTAAATATGACTTTAGAGATGTTGTTTGTGTTGCCAATACATATTTTGCTATGATATGTGTACAGATCCTAATAGTGAGAGTCGGAGCGATTTTGTTTACCTTCCAAGAGATGAATCATTTGGTCACTTGAAGTCGTCAGACTTTCTTGCTTTCATACTCAAATCAGCATCTCAAAATCTCATTCCTAAGTTAAGATCTGTAGTTACATTACAACTAAAGCAACCCGAGTTTAACACCTTCGAAGATGTGCGCTCGCTTTACGAAGGTGGAATTAAGCTACCTACCGACTTCCTTAGTGACATAAGCCCGATACCACTGTTCAAAGAAATTTTTCGATCTGATGGTGCAGCGGCCCTTAAGTTTTCAACACCTAAAGTGGTTCAAGGTATACATTAGTCACACATTCCTAGTCTTGTCAATATATAAATATAAACATGAACACAAAATAATAAAAAGTTCATGGATCTTTTGAAAATTTTAATTTGAGCAGTTGATCATTCTGCGTGGATGACTGATGAGGAATTCGCAAGGGAGATGATTGCTGGTGTGAATCCACACATCATCAAAAAACTTGCGGTAAACTTAATAGTTTAACATTGTTGAGCAAGTACAAAAATATAAATAAGACTATTTTGTCTTCTTTTTATGCTACATTTTAATTGGTAAGCTTGTTCCTTGATATATTTATTGCAGGAATTCCCAGCAAAGAGCAAGCTAGATACACAACTATATGGTGATAATACCAGCACCGTGACCAAAGGACATTTGGAGCCAAACATGGGTGGGGTCACTGTAGAACAGGTAATAACACAGTTTAACATTACTATGAAGTATGAAGAATTGGTGCTATTACTGCTTTTCTAGAGAATTGATTCAAATTATCACTGTGACTAAATTATATCTTGTTGAATAGGCTATCCAAAACCATAGGCTGTACATCCTTGATCACCATGACACAGTATTTCCATATTTGAGGAAAATAAACGCAACCGACACAAAGGCCTATGCTACTAGGACCTTCCTTTTCTTGCAAAATGATGGAACTTTAAAGCCACTGGCTATTGAGCTAAGTAAACCACGTCCTCAAGATGATAGCTTTGGCCCTATTAGTGAAGTTTACTTGCCTGCAAGTGAAGGTGTTGAAGGTTCTATTTGGCTACTTGCTAAAGCTTATGTAGTTGTCAATGACTCTTGCTATCATCAACTTGTTAGCCATTGGTATGAATTTCTCTAATGAGACTTATACATACTAATATAGTTTATCTACCTCTAAGTTATTTATTAATATCTACATGTATGACAGGTTGAACACTCACGCTGTTGTTGAGCCGTTCATCATAGCAACAAACAGACACCTTAGTGTGGTTCACCCTGTTCACAAACTTTTACTTCCACACTACCGTGACACAATGAACATAAATTCACTTGCGAGAAATGTCCTGGTCAATGCTGAGGGTATTATAGAAACAGCATTCTTGTGGGGAGGATATTCTTTGGAATTGTCTGCTGTTGTGTATAGGGATTGGGTTTTCACTGATCAAGGACTACCTAATGACCTCCTCAAAAGGTAATGTTACAAAACATTAGATCCTAGGTATTTCATCGGTTAAATAGATATTGATCTAAAAAAACATTAGATCCTAGGTATTTCATCGGTTAAATAGATATTGATCTAAAAAAAGTATATTTCTTATGTTAATACTATCAACCTTGCTCATTATACAGGGGAGTGGCTGTTGAGGACCCTGCTTCACCACATGGCATCCGCCTTTTGATAGAGGACTATCCTTATGCTTCTGATGGACTAGAGATATGGGCTGCTATCAAGTCGTGGATTGAAGACTATGTGAATTTCTACTACAAATCAGATGCTGCAATTGCACAAGATGCCGAGCTCCAAGCATTCTGGAAAGAACTCGTTGAGGTGGGTCACGGTGACTTGAAGAATGCAACATGGTGGTTTAAAATGCAAACTCGTAAGGAGTTGATTGAAGCCTCCACCATCCTCATCTGGATTGCTTCAGCCCTTCATGCAGCTGTTAACTTCGGACAATACCCATATGGAGGATACATCCTTAACCGACCAACTAAGAGCAGGAGATTCATGCCCGAGAAAGGATCCCCTGAATATGAAGAGCTTGCTAAGGACTACCAGAAGGGGTATCTACGGACAATCACACCAAAGAATGATACCCTTACAGACCTAACCATTATAGAGGTACTATCAAGGCATGCTTCTGATGAACAATACCTCGGTCAGAGAATCGAAGGTGATCTCTGGACTACGGATTCGGCGCCAGTAGAGGCCTTCAAGAAGTTTGGAAAGAAGTTGGCTGAAATCGAGGAAAAGCTCGTTCAAAGGAACAATGACGAGTCACTGAGAAACCGATACGGACCTGTGAAGATGCCGTACACTCTGCTTTATCCTTCTAGTGAAGAAGGATTGACTTTCCGAGGCATTCCCAACAGTGTCTCCATCTAAAAACTACTATGATTGCGATGAATAATCAGTGAGGCGGAATCATATTCCCTCACCCCCTTTGTGTGATCATGTTATTATGTATGTTTGTTTGATTGTTGTGTAAGGTATTTCATCAATACAAATTATTATTATGTGTGTACCTTATAGTGAGTGTCATGGATTTTACTATATCAATTGCAAACTTTATGTTTTCAGAAAATGAATTATAAACATTGAGGAATTCCTCACATATATACACTTTAAGAATCAAACATCAACTCATAATACTAAAATGTTTCATTTTTAGATGAAAGTGCTATAAAGAATTTGTTGAGGTAAAAACCTGAAAATTTGAGATTTTGGCGCGAAATCATTGAAGACGAAAACTCCGATTTACAGTTTCTGAATACCAAATCCAAACCCTGACTTCATCTCTCCCAATTTGGTTTTTGCCATGGGAAGATCGTAAACCGAATTTTCTGTTGAGTTTTGTGATTAAAGCAAAGGTACTCGTGAAATGGAAGTAGAGTTACTCTATCACTATTTTCAAAATCTCTGTTTCTTTTTTTTTCACAAAATTATTTTATATTTTATTTCAGTTTATATATTTTATATATTTTATATATTTTTATAAATTTATCTTTAAAAAAGAGAAATAATTAATGTGTATGTAATTATTTATTATAGATTGTAAAAAAAATATATAATATAATTAGAGACAAGTTTGAAAAAAATCATTAATATATTTTGGAAAAAGTGTTATAAAAAAGACAATGAAAAAAACTCAAAAAAGATATTATAATTAAAAATGAAGAAATTAATATTTTTAAGGTAGCTTCTAGCACGAAGGATCAATTAAATCCTCAACACGTACCACTCAATTTGACCATTAAATTAAAATAAGTTTACATGATATCTCTTTAATATGAGACACACTATATTTTTACCTTATCTCTTTCTTAAATATATCTAACTTTCTCTACTACCTTCGCAACCTTCATGCTTCAACATATAAATCACTAATTAAAATTTTTTTATTTAGAAATTGAATATTTTATATAAATGAAAAGACGAGATTTATTTGAAGGAAAAAAATTTAATAATTCTAAAGAAAACTGTTGACATTATATTACTCATTTAGAAATTGAATTTGATAGAAAAATTGAAACTAAGATTAAAACCCTAAATGCAAGGCAGATTTCAAAATTTTCCTCTTCATCCTCTTTCTCTCATGAGGCATGATTAGAACAAAATAAAATTTTCCATTTTTTTAACCTTCTTACAAGGACTGCTGCTACTAAAATTATGTTGATATCAAAACTTCAATTTAAAATTTTCCCAGACACAAAACTACGTAAGTTCTAAATCTTTACAAAAAAATTATAGTACATTACGTAATATTAAATATATTACGGCGGTTTCGACCGCCTTTATTTACATCTTTTTTCTAATAACCAATTTTATATCACTAATTTTTTATCATTTCACTTTTTATTTTTTAACTTAATATTATATATATAATCCTCCCATTCTAAAAATAAAGTTCAGTCAATTGAAATAACTTAGTAAACCTTCCCTTCAATTTTTAACTTTTTTTTTAATATAAACTTCATAAATCAAATAAACATTTATAATAGTTAATAAAAAATTCCATTAAAGTGTTAAAGTTTTCCAGTTATATATTTTATATTAGTAAAAAGACCTGTGTATTCGCACGGGTCGTGTAATATCGTTTTTTTGTGTGAAGTTGTTAGATTTTTTATTTTTTAAGTTTATTTGTGGAGTTTAGGAGCTAAGAAGTATACCATTTCATCTTTCTCTTATTGAATTTTGTATATGTGATTGTATTTTACAGGTGCTCTCAATTGACCTATCATATGAGAAAAATAAATTTTGTAAGTAAAGAAATATAATTAGGTTTATATAGTATCTTTCTATGTTAGTATGATAGACACTTTCGGTCTATATAGTGTCTTTTTGTGCTAATATGATAGACACGTGCGAACATACGAATCGAATAATAATAATAATAATAATAATAATAATAATAATAATAATAATAATAATAATAATAATAATAATAATAATAATAATAATAATAATAATAATAATAATAATAATAATAATAATAATAATAATAATAATAATAATAATAATAATAAATATAAATATTTTAACAAAAAAAAAGAGAAACAAAATAGTTGAAGACAAATTTATATTTTTCATTAGAAAGTTGTGTTTTTTATATATCATAATTGTCTCATGTTTTTTATTAAAACAAATATTTATAACATATTTAGTATAAATATTACCATTTTGTCATTCAAAATATAATTTATATAAGTATAATTATTTGTAATTTTAATGTGCATACTTCTAATACTAAATTAAATTATTTTTTTATTAAATTACATTTTAATCAAATTATTATTTTTTAATTATTTTTTAATAAAACAACTAAATCAAATTTTAATAAGTTATAGTAAATATGTACTCTCTTATTTTATTATAAACACCCGTAATCTTTTTTACATATTTTAAAAACAACAATAATAAATTTAGTATAATTAATTTATTTATAATATTTCAATAATATTATCATATGTATATTTGTGGAGTAATAATTTATAGTCTATGATGTTTAATTGTTTTTTACACAATGAAATGTTTTTGTACATGTCTTCTATTTATTTTATGGGAGATGTTTCAATCAATTTAGGATACTAGCTAAAGATGTTTGATAAGACATTATGAGAAATTTATGTGGTGTTTTAACTGCTTCAGGTTTATCAAGAGACGGTAAGTCTGCCATCTACAATAATAAACTCTTCCATAAGTTGTTGCTCCCATAAGTTGTTGTTGGACGATGATGAAGATTTTGATGATGAAGAGTCCTTCTGATGATGAGGTTACTTGCACCACCTCAGTGGAGATACTAGCGAGAAATAAATTCGTCCCAAGTGATCGAAGGATATTTTGTCAAATTTTTACATTCTAATTTTATAGGAAGTTCTCTTTCCAAGAATTTTCATCTATTTTGCTTCCTAGTTTGTGTGTTTATATATGATATGAAAATTTGATTGTACTAGTTGTTGTGCTACTGTCCCTGTAATTGGTTAAAAAATATACTTTCCCTGTAATTGGTTAAAAAATATACTTTCTTTTCAAGTTTTTATTATGAAAATGCTCCAACACTCTAATATAGTGAGCCTCATTGAGGTGATTGAGGACCTAGAATCAAATCACTTCTACATGGGTACTGATGGCTGGTTTTAGTTTTTTTTGGTTTTGTTATTTAATAATTTGAGTGCTAATCAAATTAGAATATTCTTTTGGTTTGATGCTTGACTAGCTATTTTTTTCTTCATAATATAGTACTATTGGAATATGTGGAAGACAAATGGGTTTTGGAAGGTTCAAATGGGTTTTGGAAGGTTCACGTTGAGTTTGTAGCATAGGTAAAGAGATTGCTAGCTAGGAGATACTTGAAAGATATCATTTCGTATCCCCATGCTCATGTAATGTTGACAAAGATTCTTTCTCACATGCACTTGCACACAAAACATACGATCATGCTTGATATAATGTAATAAACAACTTGTGAAACATCATACTGTTCATGTTTAATGATTATACTTTTAGTCATTAAACACTTGGAAATACTTTTAGTCATTAAACACTTGGAAATATTTTCTAATGCTTTGATAATATCATTTTCCCCAATCAATTTTTCTCGAGTGATTTTTAGATTGTAAATACATTTCTTTTTTTAATTAAGTATAATAATTTTAAATTTAGTGTTCGTAACTTAGTGTTCCCTAATCACTTTTTACATTTTTTTAGTAAGGGAAGACAAAATGAAGAGGAGATGGAGATTGTGTGTGGAATTACACATATGTAATTAGTTTTATTTTCAATAAATCTGAATCGTTTATTAAATCTAACAGTTTCTTTTTAGTGGTTAACCAGTGAACTATTTAATTGATACCTCACCTTAGACGTTACCTAATATAGTTAAATTAAAATCATACAAAAGAGCCGATAAAGAGCAATAAATTGTGCCACTATATCTTTTTGGATGACAAAATCAATCTTTTAAAAACTACGTTTATTGTCCTAAGAGACACAACATTGTTATACATTAACATTTGCACTCTCTGTAAAATATCAACTGCTTCTGGTGCTTGAAAATTAAAAGTGTCAAAGGCAAATGATATAAAAGCATGTTGATTATCGGAACATGTTTTCTCATGCTTGGTCATTTTACTTGAAATGACTTTGAGAGTTGTCTTCCCCACAGTAAAACCTCATGTCCTCAGTTCCAATAGTGGGGAAACCCCAGTCAATTCTACACATACATGTTTCCCTCCTACCCAACCGTATACCAGAATATTTGTTGGCCTAAGTGTCAATTTGCTCTCCTGTTGGTCTGTCAAGAAATTCACAGGTGCCTCTTTATTCACAAATATCCTGGCACGTCTAAATATATCAAATAAAACAACACTAACAAAGTGATTTCAGTATTTGAATCCTGGAAGCTCCTTACAATGAATGATGTGTTCTCCAAAAGTATCCAAGCATGCCTTGCGGCAAACATGGAAAACCTCATCAACAAGAAATAAGAGAAACATAAGCCAATATTTAAGGATGTTACGGTACTATACCAAAGGCATATGTTAGTCTAGACCATTAATATGGATAGCAAGGAGAAAATCTTAGGCATGTGTTGCTTACTGTAACGCCCGCTAATTTGATTAATTATTTAATTAAATTATATTTTGGATTATTTGTGATGTTGCGAGGTGTTAAGAATTATTGGTAAAAGTTGTTGGATTGTTATCAATTAATTAATTAGTTGATTAATAATAATTATTATATTGGGATTAATAAAATATTATAGTATTAATTTATTAGAAATAAGAATAGAATGAGTTGGGCTTAATTATATGGTTGTATGAAGTAAGAGTGGGGTGTAACATTTAGGCCCAATTGAATTTAGTTGGACTAATAGAATAATATTA